GTTGCGATAACTTCGGGCTGTTCTGCAAAATCGGTTTGTTCGAAACGTTTATTCTTAACTGAACTTTTATCAGCCCGAAAGTTGGGGCAAGTTTCCAGATAAAACACAATTAAAGAAAATGTACATACTAATTACCATTTTCCTGTTTGTTTGACCTGTTGTCTAATTTGTTCTTAAAACCCTCACAGGAAAAACTGATCACAACAGGTTCTTAGTGAAATCTGCGATTGAAAGCAGGCGAGTTTCACTCTGCAGCCATTTCCCTAGCGGATTGAACATGATTTTCTTGCTGCTTTAGCCAAAAATGAACAACAACCAACTCAAGCTCAAAATTGATCCAGTGCTATTCTGGACACTCGCACGTGAAAAATTGCGTCTATTTTCCTTCGTCATTGATGCAGTTTGCATGCATTGCAAGATTGTGGGTACTAGGCCTATACGGACACACTCTTTTACGCTATTTCTAGTCGTAACTAACCGACAATTTCACCATTTACCATTGGATTGGCGCAATAATTAATAAACCGATGCCTTATTTATGTAGAACAATCAAGCTTCTGGCATTAAGCGACATAGTGAAGCATGGACAGGAAATCGGCAGATTAAAATTTTGTTGCCCAGTTCCCAGGCGGGCGAAAAGTCGCGAAATTATGCATATTCAGTTGCCAGTTCGAATCAATTTCGATTCGAAACCGATAAATAGTATTAGAATCAATTTGTGGACCTGATAATTGGATCTGCTTCCATGCGACAATGCGATTTCGGTGTGCAATAAGGCTTCCACACATGCACGCACATTATCGGAGTGATGTGTGGTATTCCATGGCTGCTTTAGTGGTCCCTGACCAAAACATTGGCACCGCAAACCAACAAAGAAAAGAGGAAATAGTCAGCTGCTGGTTAAAACCAAGGAACAATGTGTGACTGTTTTCTTAATTCCCGTCGTGCTCCTTCTGAATGCACAAGTAAAATTACTTCCTTATTAAATCAATTTACGAATTAAACCCTACCATAACATCTCGAATGCGCTTAATTTTATTACCGGAGTTGTTTCGTTTATTTTACCTTGCTTGGTAGCAGTCTTGGAAAATTAGCTCAATGAAGATGGAGACTTTTCGTCGTCAGGTTTTTGTGAATTCTGAATAGAGAGTTCTGATCGAACTTGAGGTTCAAAATGTCGTTTGGGTTTAAGTATGAAGCAGGTTGATTCAAGTGTAAGTCTAACCGAACAAATATTGACGCAGCTTTGGAAGATCTAAAGCGAGCCAAATGAGAAACAAATGCTGGAAAAAACAATATAAATATAAAGAGGGAAAGTTACAAATTTGAGCAAAAACCTGAAAATGGTGGTTCAAAGATAGATTTGGACGACGACAAAGAAATGAAAAGTGTTCAAACAAACTCAGTCACTGAAGCAAGAGAACAAGCTAAAAACATGGATCAAACCCAAACACAAAGGAACTAAAAACTTGAAAGATGATAACCAAAAACAATATGCAAGAATCTATTTATTATCGATGACAAATTCGTAAAAAAATCCGCCCGATCACTGTAACATCGTGACCGAATTTCTGTTGACCGAGTAGCGTGTGGGTTTCGCATCGCCCTGTATACTGTCACAAAATGTCGGTCTAACTGTATTTACCTGAGTAAAGGTCAATAAACTGCTCCTACTATGATATCGAGTTTAGAATGGAACGGGCCCGATGACAGAGACCCTGGTATTTAATCGGTTTGGTACCAGAACCAGAACCATGGCCTACCAACAACCAAATCATACCAAGACTTTCGTTGGCAGGAAAATTGCTGAAGCCTAATTAAAATTTGGCTTTTAAAAGCTTTTGGATGATTGAAGCAGCAGATAAGTTGATGCCGTAACTCTTGGACGGGTCTTTGTCTAAACCGACTGGTTTGATGGCCCAGTTCCTTAAGTGAAGTCCCAAAAAACGACAAGCTTTGTGCAATGTTTACTAGGCAACTTTAATATCCCGAGTGCTGAATTCTGGGTTAAATATAACCGTAATAAGAAGACATTCATTGTTACGTGGCCATTGTTATAAACTAGGACACTTTTATCGCGATGTTTTTATAGGTTCGTATATTTTTCATTATGGCGGTGGCGATGAACATTCACCCCTTTCGCATCGCATTTTCATCAGGCAGATTACATTTGTCTTTTGTGGGAAATTTGACAGTCGCGAAGAAAACTAGGGACGACGGACAAAGTGAAAAACCAACTAGAGCTTTAACAGCTTTCGGATTAGTGCGACCGAGTTGTTCGAAGTGGAATCTTGCTTTGATAATCCGAAATGCAAAGAAATTGAGTTTATTATGTTTTCCAAGCAGACTCAAATGCGGTTAAACTAGAATTTACTCTATTTGAGGTCACTTTTGAGGACACCGGGAAATGCTTCCTTTCATGCTCCCGCTCTTGGTTGTTTCTTGAAATTTTTGGCACCAAAAACCGATCGTTCACTTTAATAGAGAAATCGAGCCATTCATTTTTACATCATTCCAAAGAGAACTAAATGGCCTTTTTAGAAAGTGAACCATCGATAAGGAAATGTTGCAGTTTTCTCAAAAAATGCTTGAATTCAA